TTATTGGTATTTTCATTTTAAAAATTACAAAAACATTATTCTTTTCTCTAATAAATACACTTTTCATAATGTCATTTTCACCATATCTTTTCTTCATAATAAATTCAGTTTTACCCAAGTGGGGTTGAATAGATTGCCAATTACCTAAACAAAACTAGAAACTTATTTCAGCTTTTAACCAGTCAAATTTAGGTTTATTCAATTTCCAGTAACACACAAATCAATAACAGAAAAAACTAATAGTAATTCTGTTAATGTTAAAGTATAAAATCATTTTAAAAGCATTATTATTTATAAAGGAAGATAAGTAATTATGTTTAGTTATACAAATATTAGAATCGTGTTCAAAATCTATTTATGAAATTTACCTTGGGCTTGCTCTGTTTCTTATCATGGCTGTTTACTTCACACAATTCTATAATAAAAAAAATATAAAAGGTTATGTTTCATTATATGAGCATAAATACATTAAACTTTATTATATAGTTGAAAATGATTAATTAAATACTGTGATTTCCTTTAATTATGATCACCATGTATCTCAAACAGTAGATGTTCAGAGCTTTCTGCAGATAGTTAAAATTATTGGTCAAATCTCAACCAAATTTGGTTGAGATTTGACCAATTTGGTGGACTGGTACTGTACATATTGTGCTGAATATGCAGTTTCAATTTGTGAGAGAAATTTTTCTTCAAAATTCAGTTACCAGGGTGAAATTTGGCACTGCTGTCCCCTTAATATGTATACTGTATGTGTTTGCTAATGAATTACAGATAAAACCATTGCCATTCCAGCACTACAGAATGAAAACCATCTGAACATCACAATCTTTATGCAAAATGGTGCCCCTTGCATATTAGCTTAGATGTACAAGCCTTATTCAACAGTTTTTGTATGAAGTTGTGATCTCAGCTGCCATTTTATGGTGAAGAGCATCATTACAATTTTATGGCTGCCATGATCACCTGATCTGAACTCCTGTGACTTTTGGTTATGGGCTACCTAAAGAACCTCTTTTATCAAGACAATGTTCTCAACCTAGCAGCACTAAAAGACAGAATTTCATGATGTGTAATAACTCGATAAAGGACAGTTGTATTTTGCCATAGTGTGTCATGCAATTCATGCATCTTTTTAGAGCATAGAGATGAAGACCACAAAAACTAAATTTCAGGGATGACTGCAGGAATCCAGCCTATTCCCAAGAAGTTCCCCCTTGGAAAAATTACAAAGGAAAAGAGACTCCTATTGCTGGTTTATGCCATTATGTTGTTAAATTTCAGTAACCTGCAAACTGGTTATTCCTGATGATAAATTCTAATGTTTTTGATCTATAAAGACCAAAAACATTAGAATTTGTCATCACTGTTATAGCATTGTTTTAATCATTAAATTGATTAATTGTTGATGATTAAAAAGTCAAACCAAACATGCTTTGGAAGAACTGTACAAGAAAGTGGCAGACTTTAGTCTAGAGAATGTCATTTTGGCATAGGGCTGGTGTGTGTGGTGTGGTAGTTGCCTCACATATTGAAATTTTTATTTATTACAATATACAACAATGTAATAAACAATTTACTTAGTTGGCCTCTGATAATTTTTCAATGTAAATACATCAATTGGAATTCTATTGTTTTAATTTTGGAACATGCAGGGTGCATTGGCACTGATATTTTATAGGGAGTCATATGTTAAGGATTCATAATTATGTTCAACATTGGCACAGGAAAGGCTGACATAACTAACTATATTATTGACTGACCAGAAAATTTCAATGATATTAGAAGTCTATTTATGCAGTGTTTCACTTTTCTATATACAGTGGTGCCTCGTATAACGTACTTAATCCATTCCAGGTGCATGTCTGTTAAGTGAAAAGCCTGTTATATAAAACGCATTTTTCCATAGAAATACATGTTAATTTATGCTGTGGAACGAATTACATGTTTTAACCGTACTGTACCATAACAAAAAATGAAAATGGAGCAGTCACCAACTATGCTGGGTAGTCAGATGTTGTGATGAGGAGGTGGAGGAACACTTTCTTTACATATTTATACAGATACAGACTTTTTACACATTGCAGTAGGTCTCTTTTTATTGCTTTTTACTTGGAGTCAGATTCAAGAGAGGCTACCAGAGCTTGCAGGGTCATCTCCTCTTGTTTTATCCTTTGTTTTTTGGCAGCTTGCTTCTTGAAAAACATGTCCAAGATGGTTGTTTCTCTCTCTTCTTCAACACCTGTCAGAAATGATGAGCAACGGTATCATTGTAGATATCATTGATCCTGTTGGCCTCAGCTCTGTTTGGATAATGAGTGTTGGTAAATTCCTGAACCTCTTCCAATTCGACAAGGAAGTTTTTGTCAACTTTCACTCCTCCTGATGATTTCTTGCTTTGTTTCAATTAAAATCACCTTTCTGTTTTTTTAGAAGCCATGATTTGCACAACACTTGAATAAATGTAAATACCCTCCTGCACTGAGGTGATGTACGTAATAAACAAGGGAGCAAGCCAAATCCTAACAGGCTCTCTGTACTTCAGATTTACTAATAATATATTCTAATAATACTAATATGTTATAAAAATAGCAGATTGTCATTGGCAATGGCAAAGAGTGGAAACATCATTTGCACTTGTTTGCAGAAAGACCATTGTTTGCCTCATGTAACTGCCAAACAGAAAGTCCGTTGTTCGCAGCATCCGTTATACAAGGCACCACTGTATAAATATAAATGCAGTATATTTATAAATGCTGTATAAATATGTGAGAATAGTTTTAGTTTTCTGTCTATAATAAATAATCAGATTAGCACTCTCACAGATGGCACCAGTTACAATCAGGGCTATCTTGACCTTATCAGGGTCTAAATTTGACCTTAAAAACAAGGAACATTCCTTGTTTTAAAGGCTAATTTTGGTCAACATACAACAAAGTTGAAAGGGACAATGAAATTAATGAATGATATTTGTCCTTTTATATTTGAGAAATTGGCTAGAATAGAAGTCACAAATTTTCTGTTGTTTGTCGATAATGGAAATTATGTCCCCTTGGGAATTAGAAAAAGGGAAATACAGATGAAAAGGGGACATGTGTACCAAATGCCCCCAATGTACAAGTGCCCCTGTTGCCTTTCCTATGCTCTTACCTTACCAGCAACTGTGAAAAAGGAACAGCATAAATTTGGCTTGCTTCAGGCAGCAGTTTTTGGTGTGCTGGCCCTGTTTTGGCATGTCACCTCATATTATGAATAATTATCACATGACCTTGTCAGGACCTGCTATAAAAATATCCATTAAAAAGGCAAAAATTAGAATGGGGGAGAATTATTATAGGCCAGAATGGGATCACATGTGGACATGTGTGTTTTTGGTACAAAGTAAGCTTGTCATTCAATAGAACCATTTATTAAAAGATTCTTACATGATCCTCAGTTTATTGCCAAGTTGATAAAAGTCCACAAAGTTCAGTTCTCAGAGTTTAATAGATAAGTTAAAGCTCTCTACTTCTTCCCGACAAACTATCAGCTTTGATTCTAAAGAGTAGAGAGCTTTGAATTCTACAGATTAGAGAGGAGTCATTCTGGTCAGAGAGGCATAAGCAAACACAATTTGATGAACAGAAAAGTCAACAATGACAAGGAGTAAAGGTGACTATGCTGACATGAGCAAGTGAATTTGCCAAGCAATGTGCATGCATGCGAGAGAGCGAGTGAGCAAGAATATATGACAAGAAGAGGTGATGACATTTGTCACTCTCATTAAGTATAGTAGGACTACACCAACGAGAGAAAGTGCATGGAGATAATCATGTCACATATTTATGTAGATCTCATCACAGAGAAGTGTGAATTATTGAACTGTATGGAAGTAAAAATCAAAATGGTTTGAATACAATGTTTACTACTAGCAAAAAAAAAACTTTGTTATTAGGATTACTTCATAATGAATACAAAAAGAAAATGAAAATATGGTGTTCCTCCTCTCTGGAAACTGAGAAAGTATAAAGAATTTTATAATATGTTAATAAAACAGAGTTATATGACTATGTATATCTATAGTTTAAAAAACAAAAATCTTTTTATATGTACTGTACAGTCAATGAAAGATATGAGAAACCATTCATTCATTCATTCATTAGAGGAGAAGGTGGTATTATGGAACACTGCGGGTATTATGGAACCACCCCATTTCGAACTGATAATAAAGGCGAACTGTAGCGGAATGTGGCTGAACTGAACTAGACAGACATCCAAAGCAAAGGGAACACCCGTTTTAATTCAGTTAAACGGTTGTCCGTATTTAATCAGCAAATTTGTTTTTTTCAAAATTCGCAAGTTTTGAATGCTAAGTGAATTTAATTATTTTTAAAATATAAATCGTGTAGTTGTAGGTTCACTGGTGCATGTATTCCGTTCCAGAGACTTAGGGGTACATATTAATCTGTGTGATGTTCACGTTTTTTAAATTTTGGTCTCGACAGACATAAGTTAATTCGAGATGGCGATGCGTGAAATACGGACCCCTTTGGTGCTTTTACAGTAATATGGAACTCAACTCCTCCGAACTCTCTCTTTGCAATCAGACATTCGTCCGGAGCAATTTGGGAAAAAGACACTAGGTAGAAAGTCTGAAAATATCGAAAAAGAGCTGCTGGAATATATATTGTTGATGGAGGTCATATTTTTCTATTATAAAAGCATTTTTGCGATAAAATACATTGGAGTAAATAATTTTGTAATTATTTAACATTTTTTGTCCTTTCCTATTTGTTTTTGGCTACATTAAAGCATTTTTTTGAAAATATACAGTAAGGTTCCATATTACCACCCGATTTTCTCTAAGCCTACTTTCGGACTTTTTGTACAAAAGCCTTCAAAAACCATACTTATAATTACACTAGCGAAAAATCCAATTTGGAACATTTAGTTTACTAGTTACCAGTACTTTTCGCACAAAAAATGTGGATGTAGTTATGATACTTCGTTTACAATTCACTAAAGTATAATTGGGGTTCCATAATACCACCTTCTCCTCTATTATTTGTTAACATATTGGTACTGTACAGTACAATACATATTCAGTACTGCTAAGCATAGCCGAGTGGAAACTACTGTATATATAAATAGCAAAAAGATACAGTAAAGTAAATATAAGGTATTAAATTACAGTATTGTAACATCTAGTAAGGTATGGAGGAGTACAGTGAAAAGTGGGTTGTAGCTGAAGATAATAAAATATATTACAAAATGTTGTTGAATGAGTTTATCGAGAAAAATCAACAATGAAAAAATACGTTTACTATATTAGCTTAAATTAGATTTAAATGTGTCATCATTATTATTAAAATTATCATCATTATTAATCTTAAAAATATTTTTGAACGAGTATCATTTTTGTCTGAGTCATTGTATGATACAGTATTTAAAATACCAAATCACTTAAAATACGAATAAATATACTTTTTTAATCGATATTTAGTAAATAAAATCACTGACTTTTACATAGTACATAAAATATTGTAAGTATATATTTTCGTGTTTGTTTTTTTTTACATCCAATGAATAATCACACAAAAAAGTTCACATAAAAATCTATGTAAAATAGTTTTTTTTTTAAATTTTTTTTACCATTAATTTAATTTATTAACAAAAATAGGTGTTTTTGAATTAGTTGCCCATAAGATACCTTGTTAAAATATATACAAAATCAAAGTTAAGTATTTCGATAACAGCACATAAAATCTTAACAAAACTTAAACCACTTATGTATGGTAATATTAATAACTGATATCTCGAGTTTCAACGCTTTTGTAAGAAAATGACATTTGGCACCAACTACCTTAATAGATAATTGGTATTTTGAAGTAAGGAAATACAGTAATTTATTTAAATTGAATATTTAAAAAAAAATCACATCTAGACGTACCGAGTGATGAATTGCTTAGTTAGAAAAATTTTGATATTTTGGATTATGTAAGAGTTTGATTGGTCAACATCCAAGGAAAAAATTTGTTTTCATACAGAGAGAAGGACCTTGGCTTGCTTTGCATTAAATTATAAATAATTTTTTCAATATTCTGAGGTATGGAATTCCATACCTGCAAAAATGTGAGGTATGGCGTCTTCCATACCTTTCATAGTGGAAACGACACCCCTGTTTACAGCAATATTAATGTCCCAAACGTATCATTCGGAGCTTGAATTGGGCACAAAAAGGAACCATCTTGCCTGGGTGATAATTGAGAAAACGGGAAGGCCAGAGGTGTGATCTATGGATTTATAAGTACAGTATTAAACACATTTATATCTAATAGCAAGTTTAATGGAGACCGGAAAAGACAGAAAAATAAACAGTAGAGAAGTTTTGACGTGAAGAGTACGATCGAGTGCAATCTCATCGCACAGACTAATAAATACAATTTATTAAATCAAAATACATTCAGAAAGCATCAATTTACGCATAAATTAAATTAAAATTCTGTTTCAAATTATTTATTACACGTTATTTAATCTGTCACACGTCTTGTTTAATACACAAGTATAAACGATATCAGTAATTAAACTTGCTGATATTTTCCTAATACCGTAAAAACTAATGTCTATTACTTATTATTTTAATTAAATTTAAGCATACGAACTATAACTTACCGGTAATAATAATAAGTTGTAACTCTCACGTATCGTTGGCTGCCTGGGCGGGCGTACTCTACCTCTCACACCGAAACTAAAACCAAAACACTCACCAGGGCAACCGAGATATCACTGTAGCGTCATACTTATTGATTTAGCAACTTCTAAAAATAATCTAGTTTCGTTTTCGTTTTTCGATGTTTATGATTCAGATTGTTTTTATTGCAATAAAAATAATCTGAATCATAAACAATTCTGAATCATAAACAATTCTGAATCATTTTATTTAAAATTTTGAATTAATTTCTGGTAAAACTATAGATTTGTACCATTACGTGTTTTCTATTAAATTTCTTTTATAAGACACATAACTTGAACGCAGAATTTTTGGGGGACACCTACAGAAAAATCGCTATAGACAAAAAAATCTTAGGACTACAGTATTTATCGAATGTACACCGCCGCTTAAACTTGTCGTGGAGATGGACGCGTACGAATCGTATCACGTGACCTAATCTACGTTACTACCTGCAAACGTCACTCTCCTTAGCCACGTGACATTGCGACGTATTTCCTGTCAACTTACTCAGTTGACAGGAAATACTTCTAGCGGATATTCTTCTAGCGGAACAATAGGGCGTGCATTTTTCGAAACTGGAAAGAAAATCAGTCGTTATACTCGAATCTGTAGAGGACAAAATTATAAGGATAGTTAATTTTGAATAGTTTAGAGTAATAAAACTCTATAAATGTAAATATATTTTTAATGAACAATTGAATGGATGGTTATTACATCACACCCAGTATTTAACAGCCAATCATTTTAAACTTTTGAAATCTTAACAGTTTACTATTCACATTTTTCACCGGATGCTCGCCCTCTGGTGTTTGAAAACAAAACTATTTTATCTAGGCAGATTAATCTACCGACTCCGATCTGGGTCGTTTGAATCATTCTTGTGTGTTGTCAACAGTAAAGATGAATAGCAATAGAAAAAGCAAAGCTTTCTCTTGCCTTAAAATTTCAATTTCAAAGCCATGCGGAACATAATATAAGTTTTCGTCTATTCTCACATGAAAAACAGACGATTATTCGGAAATCAGAATTCGGAGAAGCTCATAAATATAACCGACAGAAGAATGGACAAACTGTTAAGAATTGGCAAAAAAGTTTTCTGATTGTCCAGCTTTATATCAACAAGTTATGCTGTCGATTTTAAAGTAGTTTTCCTTAATGTTTAAAATGCCAGTAATTTTGTGTGGATCACAGGGCTGGATTTAAGCATTTCGAGACCCTCTGCGTCAGACCCCTTACCAACTCTTCACATTTTTAGAAGACAATCATAAAAAGAAAAGAAAATTAACACAAACACATTACTTTTTACTTTGTGTAGTATTTAAATATATTGTTGGTTTGTAAAAAAATTTTATTACAAAATTTGACTTCAATTTTCTTTTTTGTAGAAATTTTTGAGGACCCCTGAAACTCGAGACACTAAGCAAAAGGGTAACATAGATTACTTATAAATACGACCCTGATGGGAGATGTCAAAGCTAATGTTTTTTTTAACCCAAAGAGCATAAATGTATAGAACGATCTCATGTTTTTATAATACCACGCTAGCAATAATTGTTCTCCTATAAAATTCTCGATAAACAGCTACAAGCATCATATATCATTATATCGGACAGTAATAAATGATTAATTTTACGTTGACTAGTTACAAGCGACCCAGATAAAGTAGCCATTTTGTAAAAATGCAGCACCCTCTATAGTTCATGAAAAACGCGAATAGGCTAAGTCTGTCATAAGCTGAACCTAGGAATGAGAAAAACTTTGTTTTCTGATGAAAAAAGTAGAATTTAGATGGACCAGGTAGTTGTGGATATTATTGGCATGATGTGAAAAGAGAAGCCAAAGTTAGAATGAGTGGCAGTGTAATGGTTTGGGATACTTTTGGATTCAATGAGAAAACTGATATTGTCATTGTTGATGAAAAAAATGAATTCTTCAAAATATCAGGATATGTCGAACCTCGGTGGACGTCCGTTTATTTCATTAAATTTTACACAGTTTACGCGTTTTATTACATTTCAGAAATTCTTACAAAACTTCGAGTTTTGTTGGACGTCCGAAGAGGGGGAGGAGGTTACGGAAACTTGGACTAACTGGGACAAAAGAAGGGTGTAAAAATTTCGAGAAAAAATGGACTTAATTTATGGACAGCCTCTTATGACCACTCTGTTTTAATTTTTAACTATATCGTTTATCAGAGAAAATGATCTTTCTACGTCTGTATCCTTAAACAGGTTAACAACAATTGGTTCAACATCTAGTTGAATGTCTGTAGCTCCCTTCAAAATTTTGAACCTTCAGAAACTTTGATTTTTAGAGAACACGTTTTTGAATTTCTCAGAAATTTCATCCTCTATATTTCTTGCTACTGCTCCTACTTTCTGCTGTACTATAAAAATTGCTGCTTAATAGATGCAGGGAGAAAACTGAAACGGCTATGTTAATTCATTATTGCATGTTGAATCTGCTAAAATTATCTTCACATTTTATAGGCGTGCAGCATCTTCACGAATCTCCTCCAGTTCTTACTGATAAACCTGTAAACCTGTACTTGGAAAAATTTGCTACTTTTAACCACGTTTCCCGATCTTATCACTGGTTCTGTTAGTAATGATAAATTTTTCAGCAAATTGACACTCTAGAAAGTTTTTTTAAAATACCTTTTTACCTGTAAAATAAATCCAGCTTTACATGAAGAGTGATGCTAAGTTCTAGCGTAAAGCAAAATGACGTCAATTTAATGTCATTTCAATTCAAGGTAGATAAATTATTACAATATAAATGACATAGTGTGATTCACAACGACGATGCCAAACTTCACCAATGTCTGTAGAATGATACAGTGAACAAGCAGTTAGTTTTTATGACAACGTCACTATGCCAGGCTGCAATTTTTAACTTAATTTAAAATATGTACTCTCCACTTCAAATTAGTACTGAGTCCCTTGCCCATGTACTGTACAGTACTATACATCATACTTTTCCTTTAGCAACGGAGTCGTGCTAGTCATCTAACTCCTTTCGAGGGAACATTTTTGAATTGAAATAACGAAACTTCCGGTTTGCAACGGAAGTTCATATATAATTAATCGGGGCCTCATACCTCTAAGCTTTCCATATCTGGTCTTGACTTTTATGTATCTCATTCCGTTCTCGAGATTAAGGAATAACAGACGGACGGACAGACGACAGTGGTAATTTATCCACAAGTTTCCAGAGAAGGTTAATGTATTTTCCCGTATTGTACCGCCACTGTCGCGTCGCCATTAATATACTGCAAATTCTAGGTAACTGCGGAACTATAGAAAAGTTTCAAGATCGCATGTCACGTGATAAAAAGTATGTTTGCTCTGCCCTTTCGCCATGTTTGTGGTCTAGCTTCCGCTTGCTTAGTTTGCACGTGGTTTGTTTTTGACAGGTTGGCAGCGCTTCTTTTCTATTTAAACATAATAGAACTGCAATTTTATACCATTTAGAAAGACTGGGCCGAGCTTAAAGCATAGCCTCTAGAAGAGAAGGGAGATAGAATTAGAGTTAAGGGAGGGGGTGGGGAAGGTTGGTGAAAGAGGGAGGAAGGTAGATAGGAAGGGTGGGATCTCATGGACTTGCATCGGCCGTTTATTAAAAGGATAACAATAATTACATGGTTTAGTAACAGGTTACAGTAATTTAGAACAGGAATATCCCGACAATAAATTTACGGATTACAATGTATATACAGATGGGGCCGAACAGTGTGTACAGAGGAATGGCGGCCCTTATATAGGAGCTGAAGGGAGCGAAAATTCCCAGAGGAAAATTAGCTCAACACCCGTATCTTATAGTTGAAGTTCTTGAAGGCCTTGTAGATATTATGGTTTTTAATTAGAGTGTCCAAGGGACAAGGCCAGACCGTGCTCTCAGAGATTACCGTAGCAATGAGATTACTGCGTTCCCTGTCGTACTGCGGACAATGGAAGAGGACATGCTCACTATCTTCCCAATAGTCCAAGCAAGCGTTGCAATAGCCGTCCCCTTTATTTAAGAACCTCGCCAGGTACCCCTTAAGGTTACCATGGCCGGTAATAATTTGAGTAGTCTCATAGTCCGGGGAGAAGTGAGAAAGGGCTTTCCTCTCGTTGACCGAAGGAAAGAAACGGTGCACCAACCTTGCCGTGTTGCTATTATCCCACCTTGTTTGCCATTGCTTATTGATGAAGTTGTGGACCCCATTAGTGATCCACTTTAAAGGAATCTTCTCATAGTCGTAATTTTGGAGATTCGTGATGGCTTTTTTAGCCAGAAAGTCTGCCTGGTCATTACCCAACAGGCCACTGTGTCCTTTAATCCATGCTAGAGTGATGGTAGTATTGTTTATCCTCCCGAGAGTCTGGAGTGTATCCTTGATCATAGGGAGGTTAGTGTTAGCGTTCTGGATTTGGTGTAGAGCGACCTTGCTGTCAGTATAGATTATGACCCGCTTGTTATGGAAGATACTCGGTGACTTATGAATGTATTGGATGGCCTTAAGAATGGCCCTAGATTCGGCCTGGTTGTTAGTGCAGTGGCCCTCCATCCTAAAGTAGTGCTGGTGAAAGGTGCTGCCCTTAGGGTCCTTCACGATGAAAGCTCCTCCCGTACCCAAACCAGAATGAGAACCATCAGTATAGATGGTAAACCCCGCCCTGAGGACCGACGGGGCATCAAAAACCACTTCGCAGATAGGAGGGGAGGCAGGGTGCGTGAGGGAACCAGTGATAGTAAAGTCCACGCCATTTTCCTTGATGACCTGAAACAGTTTATGCATATAGTCCCCCTTTCCAAAGGGAGCAGCCTTACTGAGGAGAGACTCGGGGGAGATTTCTTCCCTTAAGAACCTCTTGATGCTATGAAGGATATACCTCTGCTCAATATAAAGGTCAATAGGGAGCATATTGGCAAGGACCAACAGCCCATCTGTTGGGGCTGTTTTGTAGGCCCTCGCTATACAGATGGCGGCAATCCTTTGTATGGAAAGGAGCTTCCTGCTAATGTGCACCTTGTTTACCCTATAGCCCCAGACCTCGCAGCCATAGGTGGCTATCTGCTGAGTGACCGCTTTATACGTGGTCATCCTGTCCTGGTAGGAAAGTCCCCACTTGTTCCTAGAGATGGTAGCCAGAGCGTGGGCTGCTGCGGTGGCCCTCTCATAAGCGTAGTAGATGTGTTCCCTCCATAGTAGCTTCTGGTCAATGACTAGCCCCAGATATTTGATTGTAGTTGTGCACTTGATGCGCTGCCCATTTATCTTGATCATTGGGGATTTTTGTAACGGGTTCGCCTTTGGGAAGAGGATGCAGTTGCATTTATTGTAGTTAATCCTCAATTTGATCCTATCACTCCATTCAAATACTTGGGTGAGAAGGTGGTTCATATGGTCCTGAAGGACCCTTTGACTGGGGTGGGAGGACACAATGATAGTGTCGTCCGCAAACCCCTGCACCATAGTGTTGTACCCTTTTCCCTCTTGGATCTTCAGTAACCCGTTGTATAGGACATTCCAAAGAGTTGGGCCTGACTTCGAGCCCTGCGGACACCCACGGTTAATAGTCCTGTTATATATAGGCCTATTATTGTTGTAATAGGTCACACTACGGTCCCTTAAATAGCTTTTCATCATTTTATAAATGTTATAAGGGCAATTGGCCCTACCTAGCTGGTGCAAGATCTCGGGCCACCAGGCATGATCAAATGCCCCCTTAAAATCCACCGCCACCATGAGGGTATGGTTCCCCTTCTTTTTCTCTGTTGTAATATAGTCTATCAAATTATCTAGTGCGGGGATCGTGCCCTTCCCTTTCCGGAACCCAAACTGTAGTGGGTGAAGGAATTTGTCTTTTTCCAAATAGTAGTTGATCCTATTGATTATTAAAGAGTCCAAAACTTTACCCAGAAAAGAGAGAAGAGAGATTGGCCTATAATCAGAGGGCTTACATGGTATATCCTTAGGATCCTTCGGGATAAGCTTAACCGAGGCAGTTTTCCAGATAACCGGAAAGTACCCAAGTTCCAGACACTTATTGTAAATGACTAGGAAGGTAGTGGGGAGAGCCTCAAAAGCCTCCTTTGCCATATGTCCTGTGACAAAGTCAGGCCCCGGAGCTTTATGGTTATTAATGTTCTTAAACTCCCGCTGAATCTCTTGGGCGGTGAAAGGGACATCATTACAGGTTGTGTTGTAGTTATCAACTATCCTCCTTATCTCCCTTTGCTGCTCATTGTCCTGACTGGGGTCATCGTATGGGAATAGTTCATCAAAGATAGCTTTGCAGGAGCTTTGGACCGAGGTGGTGTAGGTCCCGTTGTTGTCCAGAATCGTAGGTGGTATGGTACTGGGCTTGAACTTGCCCCTCACAGTATAGTAGGGGGTTTTCCAGGGATTACCATTGCTGTAATTAGTACAGTATTCCTTCCAAGAATTGCTTCTGCTAGTATTAATGAGCTGCTTATACTGTCTGTAGTTCTCCAGATATTTCTGCCGTTTTGTGTTTTTGCGGTTGGGGTCAGTCTCTCTGCGGAACTGCCTCTTACAGGCCCTCACCTCCTTACGCTTCCTGTCTAGCTCTACACTCCACCAAGGAGTTTCCTCTCGTTGACCGAAGGAAAGAAACGGTGCACCAACCTTGCCGTGTTGCTATTACCCCACCTTGTTTGCCATTGCTTATTGATGAAGTTGTGGACCCCATTACTTTTTTACACACTCTTTTTCACCTTTATACAGGTAGCCATGTGATATGCCCTATGGATAGTGTCTGTTAGGACATTCACAATTTTCTCCAACTCCTCCCCTTTCTTGATGTCAATCAGGGGTTCCGGTCTCCAGAGATCAGCCAGACATAATTTATAGAGCTCCCAGTTTGTAATATTGATGATTTTGCACCTACCACCAACTTCCCCAATTTCTATGGAGGTAAGTATATAATTATGGTCGCTTGCCGAGACCTTATCAATGGTGTTACAGGTGATGTTCTGTTTGAGAAGATTGGGGTTGCCAAGACAAACATCCACCCAACTGTCCCCCAGGACCGTAGAGAAGGTAGGCAAAGGGCTGTCATTGAGAGACGTGAGGCTAAAGGCTGCAATTAGTTCACAGAGTTTGTACCCCCTCGGGTCTTCCTTTGGACTGTGCCAGAGGTGCGACTTAGCATTGAAGTCTCCCATAACGATAACTTTGTTGCCCTTAAGCTGTTCCATGGTCAGACTCAGGAGATCCAGAGGGTGTGTAAGATCCTCGTCTGGGGAACAATAGAATGAGATGATATAAATGCCGTCGTCCCTTGTGTCAACCTTCACCGTGGTGAAGTAGTTATTAGAGTGCTGTGCTATGAGTTGGGTCATAATGCTGTTATTGTAGGCAATGATACCAGTTTTAATCCTGTTGTCTGATGTAATTGTGTTATGAATCTTGTTGTTACCCAGCATAGCTATCTTCTTATTGTAGACATAGGGCTCTTGGATTACAAGGATATCCACTTTGAGGTCTTGCACCATCTGCAGAGCTTCTGTGGAGGCTGCTTTAGACCGTTGCAGATTAATCTGGAGGATATTGAGGGTGTGACTTTCCTTTGGGCTGTGAGGAGTAGCCATGGTGACGTGGTTGAGGGACTGATCCAAAGAACCTGCGCACCATATCCGATTACTCATATTGCGTGGCCCTTACCTGATTTATTTTATACCATTTAAGAAGTTGGCAGCTCTTGTCAAAAGCGTTGTGGTCGGTGGGGAGAGCTTTATTCTGGGGTACCGTCTTGTTGTATCTTCTGCAGTTGTGACAGACTGGGTCCCTTTGAAGATTGGGGCAGTCTCTGAATCTGTGCTTTTTGGTGCAGTGTGTGCACCTTTGTTCCTCTGGGCAAGTATAAGAGGTGTGCCCAAATCCTGTGCAATTATAACACCGGGTGATGGCGATGTAGTCATCAACCACTATTGAGCTCCAGCCCAGGTAAACTCTACGGTTCTTCATTAGCGCGTTCCTTGTGCTGGGGGCCACCTTAAGGATGACGTGCCTAGATTCTTTATTCCTTGTTGGATGGAAACTGTGGTTAATTGAGTTGTTTTTGTGGAATTCTTCCTCTGTAGTGTATTCCTGTATTTTAGTATTCTGGTCATAGATGTTGCCTAGAAGTTCTTCATCTTGAACACTATCCGGGACATTAAATAATATCACCCTTGGCTGTTTTTTCCTTGGTTCCACCACCTTTATTTTGTGAGAGAGTGCTTCCTGAGTTTGAACTGCTGTTTTGAGGGTCTGAAGGTCACTTTCTTCTTGCAACTGGATCTTAAGGTCCCCACTGGGGAGGAGCCTTACTGCCTTGATTTTTACCCCCAATCGCTTGGGGTCCACATATTTTTGAATCAATTCTAACGTCTCCTCTGGGATGGGGGTGGGCTCATCAGGACTTTTTATTTTCGTGATAACCATATCATAGCTAGCATTCATTGGGTTCTTAACCCCCTCAAGTTTTTCTGATTTTGCTGTGATAAGTTTTGTAGTACTACTACTGGGTGTTCCCTTATTCCTTTTGGTGACCTCCGCATAAGAACCTTTGGTACCCCCAGAGTTGGGGCCAGAGAGAGCCTTTACCCTTTCCCTCAGAGCGAGAATGACTCCAAAAAGCTGGTTGGCGGCTGCATGCATTCTCACCGCCGCTTCCCGTACCATTCCTCGCTCCTTAGATTTGACTGAGATGTTGGTGTTCGTTGGAATATTGCTCATGATAGTTTCTAGTTCCTCGTTAATACTAGAGATAAGGTCCTCTTCGACGAAGCTGTTGTTCGTTTCTGTGCGCAATTTTATACCATGGACAAAGTTAAAAAAGATGCATTTCTGACAGGTTATCTCGCAGTCTGGCAGGACAAGATGCTGCTTTATATGAAGAGAAAGTTTTATATATCAAGGTGTCGATCCATACGAAGACAGCATCTTCGTTGTACATCAAGAGTTGTAGCATAAAGTAGAATTTGGTGACATCATGAATTATTTGGTTTTGACGACAAATTACTACACTCTTTTACAAATGAAAGCTTACAAGTTTTTAGAAGCCCATAACTATCTTACAAATGTTTCTCCTGATTATATGCTCTTTCATAGCGCCCTTGATATGCAGTTCGGTTGTGGTCACTCTCATACCTCATGTTTAATGTTGGCATCCAGTCTGGTAATAACTCATCATAAAACGAGGAAGATTTTTCTTTAGTGTATAAAAGCTTTTTTAAATATACTCGTATTATATTATTAAAAGGAATTTACCATTATGCTATGTTATATATAAATAATAAATAAGAATTTGTCAGGAATAACAAAGATTAATATGTAATGATTATTTTGTTATTAATGTAAATAAAAAAAATCATTGTAAAAAGTAACATCTTAAATGTTAATGCTACTCACCAAAATAACCTAACTTAGCAATTTGTAAGTGAACAATGGAAATTATTGGTTTTTATCTTAAAAATATACCCACTTTTATTTATGTAAATTAGACTGGAAAAATAATTAGAATTAAAAATGAATTTTGAACCAATTGACCAAGAAAACAAACTGAAAGGTGAAAAATAAAGTTAAAACACAATCATTATCTATTCAAGCTAAAATCTGTGGTTGTTAAAATTATTTAACTTTCTTTTGTCAATATTAACAAAGGGATTTATACAACCGGCTTATTCACACTATGATGCTGGTGCAAAAGTTGATTAGATTAGATTCAATGATTAGATATGAGTATCCTATCTAATCATTTATTGATAACTAGTAATCAAATGTTATTGCTTACCTGAAATCAAATGTTTCCGACAAATTCTTGTATTGATATTCACTTTGTCCGTATTGAAAATTTTCTGGTTAATTCTCGAGAGCCATGCAGATTGTCCCACCGGGACGCCTTTCGTTGTCATCGCCGGTGTTGGTATAGTCTTGTCCGTGTTTTGACCCACCTCTGTCCCCCCGGACCGCGTTACAGCCGTCCGGGACTCCTTTCGTTGTCATCGCCGGTGTTTGTATAGTCTTGTCCGTGTTTTGACCCACCTCTGTCCCCCCGGACCGCGTTACAGCCGTCCGGGACTCCATTCGTTGTCATCGCCAGTGTTTGTATAGTCTTGTCCGTGTTTTGACCCCCCTCTGTCCCCCCGGACCGCGTTACAGCCGTCCGGGACTCCATTCGTTGTCATCGCCAGTGTTTGTATAGTCTTGTCCGTGTTTTGACCCACCTCTGTCCCCCCGGACAGCGTTACAGCCGTCCGGGACTCCATTCGTTGTCATCGCCNTACCCCCTCGGGTCTTCCTTTGGACTGTGCCAGAGGTGCGACTTAGCATTGAAGTCTCCCATAACGATAACTTTGTTGCCCTTAAGCTGTTCCATGGTCAGACTCAGGAGATCCAGAGGGTGTGTAAGATCCTCGTCTGGGGAACAATAGAATGAGATGATATAAATGCCGTCGTCCCTTGTGTCAACCTTCACCGTGGTGAAGTAGCTATTAGAGTGCTGTGCTATGAGTTGGGTCATAATGCTGTTATTGTTGGCAATGATACCAGTTTTAATCTTGTTGTCTGATGTAATTGTGTTATGAATCTTGTTGTTACCCAGCATAGCTATCTTCTTATTGTAGACATAGGGCTCTTGGATTACAAGGATATCCACTTTTAGGTCATGCACCATCTGCAGAGCTTCTGTGGAGGCTGCTTTAGACCGTTGCAGATTAATCTGGAGGATATTGAGGGTGTGACTTTCCTTTGGGCTGTGAGGAGTAGCCATGGTAACGTGGTTGAGGGACTGATCCAAAGAACCTGCGCACCATATCCGATTACTCATATTGCGTGGCCCTTACCTGATTTATTTTATACCATTTAAGAAGTTGGCAGCTCTTGTCAAAAGCGTTGTGGTCGGTGGGGAGAGCTTTATTCTGGGGTACCGTCTTGTTGTATCTTCTACAGTTGTGACAGACTGGGTCCCTTTGAAGATTGGGGCAGTCTCTGAATCTGTGCTTTTTGGTGCAGTGTGTGCACCTTTGTTCCTCTGGGCAAGTATAAGAGGTGTGCCCAAATCCTGTGCAATTATAACACCGGGTGATGGCGATGTAGTCATCAACCACTATTGAGCTCCAGCCCAGGTAAACTCTACGGTTCTTCATTAGCGCGTTCCTTGTGCTGGGGGCCACATTAAGGATGACGTGCCTAGATTCTTTATTCCTTGTTGGATGGAAACTGTGGTTAATTGAGTTGTTTTTGTGGAATTCTTCCTCTGTTGTGTATTCCTGTATTTGAGTATTCTGGTCATAGATGTTGCCTAGAAGTTCTTCATCTTGGACACTATCCGCGACATTAAATAATATCACCCTTGGCTGTTTTTTCCTTGGTTTCACCACCTTTATTTTGTGAGAGAGTGCTTCCTGGGTTTGAACTGCTGTTTTGAGGGTCTGAAGGTCACTTTCTTCTTGCAACTGGATCTTAAGGTCCCCACTGGGGAGGGGCCTTACTGCCTTGATTTTTACCCCCAGTCGCTTGGGGTCCACATATTTTTGAATTAATTCTAACGTCTCCTCTGGGATGGGGGTGGGCTCATCAGGACTTTTTATTTTCGTGATAACCATATCATAGCTAGCATTCATTGGGTTCTTAACCCCCTCAAGTTTTTCTGATTTTGCTGTGATAAGTTTTGTAGTACTACTACTGGGTGTTCCCTTATTCCTTTTGGTGACCTCCGCATAAGAACCTTTGGTACCCCCAGAGTTGGGGCCAGAGAGAGCCTTTACCCTTTCCCTCAGAGCAAGAATGACTCCAAAAAGCTGGTTGGCGGCTGCATGCATTCTCACCGCCGCTTCCCGTGCCATTCCTCGCTCCTTAGATTTGACTGAGATGTTGGTGTTCGTCGGAATATTGCTCATGATAGTTTCTAGTTCCTCGTTAATACTAGAGATAAGGTCCTCTTCGACGAAGCTGTTGTTCGTTTCTGTGATATCTTCTTTTCCCTCAGCCATTATAATAGGCACAAAATGAGGGGTATATTAAAACCAGTACTTTTTACGAGTTGATTGGTATAACACACAACACGGGGCAACAAGCGAGTCCCCCAACAGCCGAGGTTGCCGAAATAGGGTCAATTAGGGGATGACCACGTGGCGAAACCAATGACCTTTAGTTCCTTTGTGTTGGTCCGACCGTAGAATGCCCGTAACTTAGTAACTAATAACCGTAGGTGGTTGAAAATTTCCACACAGGTTGCTGGATACCCCCTCAAAGAAACACCTATGTATGAACCTCGCCGAAGGCCCGCAAAGCCCGCACGACGGCCCGATAAAAACACGTAAAGGTCCCAATAAAACACAAACGGCTCGCCGGATTTTAATACCGAAGGTGCCGTTAGATCCAGCGTGAGATCCTCTTTCGACCGATATATTATATCACCACTTACCGGCGGAAAATGCCTGGAAATGGCGGCCGGAAAAACTGGAACTTCCGGAGGTCGTATCTCCCGAATCGCTAATCCGATCCGGAAAAACAATACTTCAATCGATAGCACACGATGAGCTGATTCTAACGGTACAAAATAATCCACGGATTGATGATTCTGAGCGCCGATGCAAAGATCGAA